GTCATCCTTGACTCCACCCTTTCCTTCCACTCCCACATCAAGTCTGTTACCAAATCGGCCTTTTTCCATCTAAGGAACATTGCCAGACTCCGACCGTCACTCTCGGAGTTGGTTGCAGAAACCCTAGTCCATGCTTTCGGCACCTCCCGCTTGGACTGCTGCAATGGTGTCCTGTTTGGGGTCCCCAAAAAAAACCCTGGACAGGCTCCAGTATGTTCAAAACTGTGCTGCTAGGGTACTCACACATACAAAGCCGTGGCAGCACATCACTCCCACCCTCATCCACCTCCACTGGCTGCCGGTCAAGTCCCGCATAACTTACAAAGTCCTCCTCCTTAGCTACAAGTCCCTCCATGCCCATGCCCCCCAGTACTTATCGGACATCTTTCGCCCACATGCCCAGTGGTGTCGTGGGGATTTTTTTTACTGGGGGGGACGCTATTTTAATTAGGTCCAAACAATGCCACACAAGTGCGCACACGCGCAGTGCACTCACAAAACGGGCAGACAGGTCCACAGAAACCGGTATGTATGCTTAATCCTACTGTAGTTACTGTACTGCAAAAAGCAGACGGTGCTGCGCTCAACACACACACAAAACCATGGACACACAGGCACATAAATTACATAAACAATTTATAGGCCTAAATTGCATAAGCTATAGTATTGCAACTAAGCAGACATCTCTCTCTCTCTCTCTCTCTATCTCTCTCTCTCTCTCTCTCTCTCTCTCATCTCTCTCTATCTCTCTCTCTCTCTCTCTCTCTCTCTCTCTCTCTCCTCTCTCTCCTCTCTCTCTCTCCTCTCTCTCTCTCTCTCTCTCTCTCCACTTTCAAAATCTATTTAAAACTCATAACAAACAAACAAAATTCCAAAAGTTGTCCTGAAATTAACTTATTAAATAAACGAAACGAAAAATATAGCCTACTTATGCAAAGATCATTGAATCTGGATTTGAAATTATTCTGATTAAGCCTACATTGCAAATAAGCAGACAGCGCTGCTTCACACACACACACACACACACACACACACACACACACACACACACACACACACACACACACACACACACACACACACACCTCTTGTTTCCTCCGCCACATCTCCTCCGTCCATACCTCTGGGAAAGGTGAGCTTGAGATAGCCAGGGGAACGTTGCTAGCGCAGCTAACGTTAACGTTAGTGCTAGCATTATCCACGTCTTTAGACGGCTCTTCTGATGATGTAGTACTAGTAGCAGCTTCACTTGTAGCTTCGGTGCTGCTAGCCTCTTTCTTCTTGTGAATGATATTCTTTTTAGAAAATAAGTAAAGTAAAAAATGTTTTTCTGCCATTATAGAGCTTTTTCGTTAGCATTCTTGAAGGAAAGAGCTGCCGCAAAATCGGCGGGCGGCGAGCTCACGAGCGTGATCACGAAGCATAATTTTTTAAGGAATAATCGTTTTTATTTTTTATTATAATTACTTACTGTGAAATGTATTATGTTTTTGTCATTATTACAACAAATACACACTTGCAACTAATAACACTGGCAATGATTTTATATGTATATTAGACTATTGAAAAAAAGATCATGCTCCAAATAAAATAAGTGGGGGTACGGCGTACCCCCGCGTCCAACGCCCACTACACCACGGCACATGCCCCACCCCGGAACCTGCGGTCTTCAGATTCCGGCCTGCTTACCACCCCCCGCACCAACCTGCGAAACTTAAGGGACAGAGCCTTCAGTGTGCCAGTCCCCACCCTCTGGAACGCTCTCCCTGCGGAGATCCGCAACATCCCCACGCTCGACGCCTTCAAAAGGGCCCTCAAGTCCCATCTGTTTGCCAAGGCCTTTGGCCCCTAATCTATTTGTTGTTTTGTCTGTCTGACTGTTTGTCTGACTGTCTGACTCCTGCTCTTCTCTGTAAAGTGACCTTGGGTCTCATGAAAGGCGCTATATAAATCCAAGCTATTATTATTATTATACATGTTCCAAAAAGATCAGCAAAATAACATAAAAACAACATGTAAAAAAGCAGGTCACCCTCCAGCAATATCTGAGAAAAACACAATGCCCCTCATCATTCACATTGTTCTTCCAAATGTCAATGTGAAAAGAGGAATATAAAACTATTACTATTCATTCCCCGTGTAATAATCAGACTGTGGATCTCCAACCTGCTAAAAGAGGAACACATTTCCCCTGAAGTTTAAATATAGAGAGCCAGACTGAGGTGTGTGTGTGTGTGTGTGTGTGTGTGTGTGTGTGTGTGTGTGTGTGTGTGTGTGTGTATGTGTTTTTGTGTGTCTCACTTCGCCTGCACACACAACATCAGCACATCTGTAAGCAGCTGTTTAACAACTCGTCCTTCTTTGTATCCCTCACGCTGGGATTGTTTTTCTTTTCTTTATCCTCAACCGATTTTTAAACATTCTTCCTATTTTTTCTGATGTCATTCAATTATCTTCCATGTCTCCATCTCATAGCGACTCACTGTCTAATCCTCACTGTAGATTAAAGATTACAGCTGGAGAGCCGGGAGCGTTCTCTGACGTGTTATGGCTGAGCTGCTGTTGTGGCCCTTAGGCTGAGCTGCCCCCACCCTCCCCACCCAGAGGAGGCACTGAGCATGATAGCTGTCAGCCTCATTTGAATGCATGTTAGAGCTGTCCTGTACACTATGCAAATGTATCCCTCACATCTGTCCACACGTTTATCCGTCCTTCCCTCGATCCTGCATCCGACATGTTGGCAGCAGAGACAATAATTAGACATTTTAACATACAGGTTTGGATTTTTGAAAAAGGTGCCCTGAATATAATTATAACACACAATGATTTAAAATAAGTTGATACATTTTCAGAAATGTGGGTGAAATATGATCTCCAGACTGTGTACTTCTGGATAGATATATCTTTCACATATAACATTTATCCGGAATATTTTATATTGTATTTTTTTTTTGATATTTGTCTTTTCTACTGTAGATATGTTTATATTTGCTGTTTATTTATTTGATATTGTATTATGTCTATACTTTATTCCATCTGTTAAATATTGTAATGCCTGAACAAACTGCTGCTATAACAACCTAATTATCTATCTATCTATCTATCTATCTATCTATCTATCTATCTATCTATCTATCTATCTATCTATCTATCTATCTATCTATCTATCTATCTATCTATCTATCTATCTATCTATCTATCTATCTATCTATCTATCTAGGCCTATAAAGTATTTGCATCTAAAAATATTTAAAGTATAAAAAGTCAAAGTAGTGATTGTGCAGATTGGTCCATTTCAGAATAATATATATGATATGTTTTATAATGATTGATCATGAAAGTGTTCTCAAAGCTGGTAAAGGTGCAGCTAGTTTGAATGACTTTGTATACTGCAGGGTAGCTGGTGGATTTACTCCAGGTGGAACTAAAGTCTGAGTTAAGACTTCATTATTGTAGGAGCCGCATTTAAGTTTATTTTGTTTTGATTTATTTGGAACCTTTATTAATGCATTTGTCTGTTTCAGTGAGAGGTGCGCTTTGGTCAGGTGAAGGGGGCGGGGCTAAGGCTTTAAGTTGGAGGTGTGGTGTGTGACGGGAGGGCAGCAGGCAGCAGCTATCGTCATTGACACGCAGACGCAACCTTATGCTTATTAAAAGACAGATTATTAGGATCTGCTGTTTAAGTTTATGTTACATATTGTTTTCCTATTTTGTTTTATGTTTGCTGGAAATAAACGTTGAAAAGCAACCGAAACGTCCAGTGGGTTTTGTACTGCGACTCTGACACTGCTTCTCAGGCCCAAGCTCTGTGGCCAAGAACAATAACTTTTGAGGTATCGAGTTACAAGACAAACTTTTGGAGATTTTGGCGACTACAATTATATTTCACATAATTAATATAAATCTGTAAAGTAACAAAAAGTGCATAAGTTAGTGTAGTGGATGTAGCAGTGACCGCAGAATAAATATATTAATTTAACAGTTTGGTTAAACCACTAAGTCCGACAACGCCACCCCGGGAATTTCACCCAGGGAAATGTGACAAGTTTTAAGTCACTAGGACACACAGGTTCGGTTACTCATGGAACAAGAGACGTGGTTCAATTATCAAAAATAGAACAGTTTATTTGTATACACTAGTAAAAATACAATTTATAAAAACAGTCACACAGGATCAGCAGTACGGGTGATGACCCTGCGCCAGAAACCCGTCTCTTTTCGGTGCAGCAAAACAGCAGCGGTTCTTTAAAGCCTTAGCTTGGCCCTAGATTAACAATAAACACACAAGTATAATATGAATGTTCAGGAAAGGTGTGGTGAATGGACTGAACAAATCGCCGTACACACCGATCAGGCAGAGAGGAGAGAGTTTCATGCTCTCTATGTTACGGCTACTTGACGGGCATCGCCAGGAAGACCCTCCGCTATACAAAACAAAACGTGACTACACGTAAGTATGATAAATTGCGAAACTTTACCTGAAGCCAACTATTCTCCTACAACATACCTACGCCGGTGGCGGAAGCAAAACACGGCAAGAACGGAAGTGGGTTGGTCTGGGCACCAGCGAACAAGAGGCCGCCAGCTAGAAGCCTCTGCTCCTTTATAGGGTGCCCCCTGGCGGTGATAGGCTAAAAAATAATATGCCTTACAACACTATTTACTGCTCATCCTGCCACATGGAGTAAAAGTACAAAGTAGCATAAAATACGAAAGTAAAGTAGACGAACCTCAGAAATGTATTTAAGAACAGTATTTGAGTTATTTACTTTGTTGCTTAACACCACTTTTAAATATGCTCTTAAAATAAACAAAAGACATCATTTTCTGAGAGGCACAGAGCCTTAAAAATACACATAGGCTTTAGAGATTATTTAAACCATCTTTCATTTTGCGTGTTTATACAGGCAGCCCGCCTCTCTCCGTTCACCTCTATCACTGAACAAGCAGCTGGGGAAGAAAAGAAAAAAAGCCGGGTATTTCAGCCAGTGAAACTGAGAGTAGGACCGCTGAGGGCTGGTTCCTCTTTTCTCTCTCAGTGAGATGCGCACGGCTCCAACTTCCTCATGCATCCCAGTGCGCTGAGCTCTGCCGCCCCGTCCGCACCTCCAGCCCAGCCCGCACAACAACTACCGAGAAGGGATGGAACAAACGAAGGAGAAATGAGGAATATTCTTTACATTGTCACCAGAGTCTAGAAGAGCACACACATCCGAAAAGAACAAGAGTCGAGGTGATTGGTTGAAGCGCGGTAAGTTTCCTCTCGTTGTGTGTCTGCAGAGGTCTAACTGTCTGAAATATGACTGGGAATCAATGATAGGCAGTGGAGAGGGACATATAGGGGACATAAGGATGATTCATGTGATGATAGGCAAAAATAAGATTTTTAAACAAGGATGCTCGGTTCCCAAAAGAGGAAGTTCAGTGAGTTGAAGCGACTAGCACACACACACACACACACACACACACACACACACACACACACACCACACACACACACACACACACACACACACACACACACACACACAGGTAAATATTTGAGGCAGCCCCTGTATTGGAGCAGTTTGCATCACTTTTGACCACTTTCACACTCTACAGTGTGTGTGTGTGTGTGTGTGTGTGTGTGTGTGTGTGTGTGTGTGTGTGTGTGTGTGTGTGTGTGTGTGTGTGTGTGTGTGTGTGTGTGTGTGTGTGTGTGTGTGTGTGTGTGTGTGTTAGAGTTATTTTTAAAACTGTCCCTCCAGAATAAACCAGAAGCTATAGTTTCTCTTCTGTTCTCTCTCACCAGTGTCTGTACTTGAACTTTCATTTCAGATGTTTAATTGCCATTGTATCGGGCTGGTCAATATACTGCTAGTATATCAATATTACGATTTAGGAGTACATTTCGTTACAGATTTTGAAAAAGGCCATATCAAAACCGTGGTTTCCTGTTTTTAAAGACTGCACCACAAGGGATTAGATCTGAACGACGAATTGAAATTGTATCAAACTCGCAATATGTACTAGCATAATATCCAAATTGCAGTATGGGCACATTTTGGTTAAGGCAACATATGTGAAAATATCTTCTGCAGTGAGTTGTTTTTTGCTGCAGAGAAGACAGTATTCTACAGACTGTTAATTCCCTCTGATATCGTGAATCATCTCATGGATTAGCGTAAATATTCTGTCGGAGCAACAAATACTATATTGTTGCAATATCGATATTGATGTATCTGGTAAGAAACATTGTCCATATCGCCCTGTTCTACTCCTGAACATTTAACAGATATACTGTCATTTCACATTGTAGTGTATGAAGACATTTTCTTTGAGTGTATCCCTTACAGAACATGTCTTTATCCTCAGGGAATTTCACACACACTCTTTGTGCATGTGTCAGTAGAGAGTTATGTACATTGCAGAAATGCCATTATTACAACATATGACTATTGTTAAATTCCCCACTCAGTATCTATCTGCAGCCACATCTCTCTGCTTAACCCTAAATGTTGTAAAGAGTTATTGCAACCTTACATTTTTCAAATGACACTTTGAAAGAGAAGAGAAAACCAACTTCCTTTATTAAAAACAAAGCTTTATTAGTATAATATAGCATATGAAGAATACACGATGAAAGCAAATGCGGAATTAATGGCCAAAAGATGGTGAGTCCATAGTTGCAAAATGAAGTTTCTATTGAAGTTGAGAAAACCCTTCTGCTTCTCTCTTAATTTATTAACTTGTTCAACAATTTTCTGATGGGTTTATGGGCTCAATTGCTAATTTTCTTTAATTCAACATGATAATCCTTCAGTAAATGTTGGTTTAATTTTGATTAAATTAGACGATTAAGCAGAATATGTTGTAGGGCGGGGCTACTTTGTGATTGATAGGTGGCTCCCACAGCGTCTCTCCACTTTACCCTTTCACCATTTTATTTCAGTTCACTCGAGTTAATATTAACACTTTGGTCACCTAGAATGCCTAACTCAGTTTAAGATTACATTTAGCTCCACTCACTGTCACTTCTGGTTCTAAAAACAACAACATGGTAATGGACAAACCATATGGTCACTTCTTATAGTCTTAGGTAATGACCTCTCACTGAAGAAACATGAACATATTGTTAGCTTAAGAATCTTGCCTCGGGCTGCAACTCATTCGTTTCAGCTACTGTTCAAATAGTTAAAACTACGCAACAAAGTTTAGGAGAGTCGTAAGGTGACGTTTTCAATTGATTTGTCTTATCCAACAAATACAAACACTCAGATATATTAAATGATATGTTTTTTCATTATGATTGATGACATATCAATTATCAACATAGTCGCAGATTCATTTTCTGTTCACTTTTTAAGCTCTGACCTGATCATCATCATTCAGATTTCATATAACCTACATTATATTAGGCATATGCCGGTTTTCCAAAATGCAGTACATTCCTGCATATGCAGTACATACTGTACCCTGCTCAAATATATTTACTGCAATCTAGCACTAAATATATGAAAAAGTAAAAATGACATAAGTAAAATGTAAACAAAACAAAAAAGTAGAATAAAGATATAATATAATGTTTAGATCTTTATTTTATTTGTATTTTATTACATTGTATTTTAAATTCATTTTGTAATTCTTGTAGATTGACTGTCCATATGCTGCTGTGATAAAATCATTTCCCAACTTGGGATAGAGTATCTATCCATCTGTAAAATATAAGTCTCACACTGGCTATGACTGTGATAATCTCCATCTCCTTGTTGGTTTGGATGATCACAGAGGTTAACATGCTGAGATGCAGCCGACATGCAGCCCAGCACCACAGTGGTTTCCTTGATAAGTAACTTGTTAACAATGCAGTTGACTGGTAGAGGCTCGGCTACTTTTTCTTTCTTTTTTTACTGTCCTGTTGGTGCAGAGCCAGGCCGGCAGCAGGTGGTGTTGTTATGGCCCCAGGCGGTCCCACACAGGGACACTCATGCCCACAACATTTACATCCGTGTAAAAAAAAGTCACTCCTCATAACAGAACATGCTCGGTAATGTATGGACTAGTTTCTAATTCCCTCACAAATTAGAGTTTATTTTGGGTGGAGATTGACTCAGTAGGCAATTGTTTTAAGCCCTGTGTTGTGTAAAATCCACAAAGTATCAATGCACACTAGTTATCCTCACATCCTGGAAGCTTGTGCTGTCACATTCTAGATTTATGGTTCCACAGCCTCCTGTTTCCAGTGGTACTTATTTGCATGGTTTGATGTAATATGATACATATGAATCAGGCCTTTATACACACTTAGACTCACAGTATGATAGAAGGGACGGCAACGTTATATTTTCATTAGTGTTGTTGAATGAAAAAATATATCGTTCTTCGAGCTGAACACTTAGTATCATGACAATCCTGTTATTCAGTTGGAATTGAAAGTTTGCATATTGTTATATACTATATATATATATAATATATATATATATCATTGCTTTTTGAAATTGTGATTACAAATTCATCCTTGACCCTTAACTGCACTAGAAACAAGAACATCTTCTAACTTCTCAAAAGAGTAGATAGTCACAGAGAGACCAAGGCCAAGAGGTAACACTGTTTTTGAAAAAGGCTTTATTATTGAACTATGAACTTCTAAAAAATAAGAAAGAAAACCTAATAAAAGTTGGCACATGGTGACTAGAATGACTACACTTTAGAGAGATGCCGTTAAACATTACCAACTGGCTGCTGACTTTGTTATTCGTTTTTCTACTTGCTCCTGTTAGGGTTAACTCTACTTTCCACTAGATTCTTTTACCTCAGAAAATATTTTCCTGAGGAGTTTATGGTCTAATTGCTAATTTGGTGTCTTCTTTAACACAGCACAATGTTCATTTAGTAAATGATGGTACCATTTTAGAGTAAAAACCTCTTCGGTTCGGTTATACTTCCTCATGTCACGGCAGGTTTTTAATAAACAACATGGCGATGGTCAGACCATAATTCTACTTCTTCTACAGTCTATTGTAGTTTCCTCTTCTGGCCCCAGCTCTTCTTGTGTTCACTGATATTTACAGATTAAATAAACAAGACATACTGTAATGTGTTAAATTGCTAAGTACAATGGTAAGTTGTTTTACTGTTCCTCCCTATAACCTGTCTTTGTGCTAAGCTAAGGTAACTGCCTCTTGTCCTGTCCTCATGTTTAGACAATGGTATTTCACCCACTGCAAGAATGTGATTATTATTTCATCTTTATGACCTGAATTTACTCAACACACTGTTTCATTATATATAAATAAATATATATATAGTATATATATATATACAAAATATTGCCCATGGCTGAATTCCTATGGATTCCCAGGGAGTTTCTCGCATGATGTTGTATGTGACAGTTGGTCTGATAGAATTTCGGGTTTTTTGCTTTGGTGCTATATAAATATAATTGCCTTGCCTTGATAATATAGCATTTGGTGTTCGACTATTATGATCTTTCTTAAGAGATTCTAGTCAAGCTTACACATACCTGAACGGTATGAAACTAAACAAAAGATTATTGTAAAAGTAATTGCTTTTGTAACTTTATTCAAGTAGCCGTGAAAGGTCTGTTTTTAAGGGGTCCTATTATTTGGGGGGGTTTCTCCCTTTACCTATAATGTGTTTGTGAAGCTGACAATTGAGCGGCCCGACCAAGCAAGGAGGCAGAGGCAGAACGTCCAAAAATACAACCCGGTGTGGGCATTTATTCAAATCATAAGCACATGATTCACAGCCTCAATTGCTGTTCCCCTGAACACAGTCAGCAGCCACAAGGATCTCACCCACACTACCCGCCTCCAAACAGACAGGGCAACAGACCCTAAATACACACACTAATCAGCAATTCAACACAGGTGGGGGGGAGGAGACAACACAGGGCACCAGGTGCACACAATCAACAGCCACAGACATGGGGGAAGGGGAACACTTTTAACATGAAACCAGGAAACAGAGACAGACAAACTTACATAAATTACATATATTCCCATGCTTCCTGTGCAATGTTTTTAGTGCTATATTACCCGTAACGGAGGCCGAGATCTATGGGCCCAGAGATCACCTCCGTTACAGTGTTGTTCTATAGGTTTTTGTTTTTGTGCATGTAAATACATGATCTGTAAAGGTTAAGATATCCCTGGGAGCAGTAATTTAAATATTGACAAAAAAGGGATGTGAGATGAGAAGTGAAGGATTGGGCTTAACGAATGCTGTTTTTTTATTTTTTTTTATTTTACA